CTGAAGATGTTACCTAGCCAGGTAATGAAACATTTGCAAGAAAAGAACCAAGCTCAGAGAACCCCAAGGACTCCACAGAATACCTTTAAGTTTGGTGCAAACCGTAGTTCCTTTCTGAGTTAGCATTCCTTATCTATTTTTTTTAAAAAAAATTGGGTTTGTTCTGCTGCTCTTTGATTTTTTAAAAATAATTTTATCATAGTATTTCACTTTGGGGACTTTGCTGAAAATCAGTTTAAAGTTGCAAATAAGTTCTGTAATGGTTAGAGTAAGATCACTGAGATGCAGTCATAGAAACTCACTGGATTATTTGGGCCAATTAGCTCACCATATAACTTACTTTATAGGGGTGTGGGAATTTCTTGGATGAGGGAATACTATATGTACAGCTTTGAGCAACTGGAATTAATGTTGGATGTACATCTAAGGAACAAAATAATATCATCCAACAGTCTTTGAAGAAAATGTGGGATAAAATGTTAATGATATAATAAAAACAGACAGGCATAATTATTTATTAACACAAGACGAGAGACACAATCAATGCGTTAATGGAACACTGTCCAGCCAGATGTTAAAATCTTTTAAAAAGTATATCTAAAACCTAATTTCAAATAAATAAAAAAGACTTTTTACATAATTACACAGTTGTGATTTGAATCTGACAATGGTAAACGTACTGACATCAACAAAAGCAAAACATGATTAAAGACAATGATCTATTGTTGTTTTTACAATCATATCTCCATCACAGTTAAGCTTGGCCCATCGTTGCTAAACTGCACAATAAAAAATTGAAAAGCAAACATATTTAACTAAAAGAGCCTATCTTTGAAAAAAAGTAAAAAATGGTTTTGTAGTTTTCTTTTCATGGTAGTAAGTTCATTCTCAGGAATAACAGCTGTTCCAACTGCTTCATATCAATACATATTAGTAATTGAATAATGTGGAGTTTTTTTGTGAATGAAACTGCAGTCATGGGATGTTCCTGCTAGGAGAATCAAGGGAAGGCAATTCTGTTATTACCAACACCCCATAAACCTCTGAAAAGCAAAATGTGAAAGAAGCATGTTATGAGGATTGCAGGGTATTCACAGATCTCCCCCACTTCCATTGTTGTTAACATAACTGAATCTTGGTCTTATGGAAATAGCAATCCTTCCACTTGCAGAAATACTTTGATCCAAGCCATTATATTTAAATTAAACATTACCTGAGCTAATAAGGAAATCCAAAAAGCCTAGGTTGAAAATATTGACTCTACCTCTTTGGATATATGAAAAAGTACTTCAATACAGTGATTATGTGGAACAGAGAAAAAGGGACAAGCTAATTCCAGAACTTACAGAGACTACACCCTTATTGAGTTCCATGTGGAACCTGTAATGTCTGATGGAGAACACAGAATAGCATACCCAAAGCCACACTGAGCAAATCAGTGTCAGAACCCAGATAAAGAGGGCACTGATTCTACAATCATTCCTTTGGAATCTCAGCCATTTGTATAAATTATTGGAAGGCAAATAGGAGTGGCACTGAAGAGGTCTCAGGGCTAAAGAGTAACATTGAAATCCTTGGTGTATTAATTATAAATCTTTGCAGAAAGTACATTAAGATCTCACATTAACAGGGAAGAAATCAAATATTTATCAATTAAATCAAGGAGAAAAATGTATTTGGAGTTAATATTTAAAACAACTTCAGATTTTTTAAGATCTATAATGCTATTTTCAGAGGTTTTTCTATACTACACATAGTAAGTCTACCATACTACACGTAGGCAGAATCTAAATGTAAGTATAGAAAATACTACCACAACTGTGGATAGAGAAATGTGCTGTGGTTCCATTCAGTAGGACATTAAAAGTGTATTCGTTATAAAAATTGAGACCACTTAAGAGCCACATTGCAGTGAATAAATAAAGGCTGGAGTACACAGAACATTTATATGCTGAAGGCCATCTGTTCTCATGTTGAGTGCCAGCAACTGCTTTGTGTGTGTTTGTTTTCCAAACTATTGCAAACTACATGTTAAAACAACTTCAGCATGGAGGGCATTTTAATTTACATAGCAGCACCACACTGTGGAAATACTGATAATGCAAAATATTCAAACCGTCTCCATTAAGAACCAGTAGTTAATATTTCAACGATTTGAAGCAATGAACCTCCCTCCACCCTGTTCTACTTTTGCCATAATTCTTCGTTTCAATATATATCCAACAACATATGTATAAGAAGGTAATTGTGAATATTTTGTTAATATATTTAAAAGTTTTCTGTCTAAATATCTATACGTCAAGCCATTAAAAAAAACAAGCTTTTGAAAGTTTGTACAGAAAGTTTTTCAAGTATACATTTGGAATTTGTCTTAAGGAATAAGTTGCCAGAGCTACACTTAATATAGCTGCTGTAGCTGAGGATTTAATCCAGGTTTATATTTATATTTCTTTTAAAAATGTCTAAAAACACTAACTCTGTTATAGGGAGGGTAAACAAACATTATTAAAATATTCTAAGTATTTACACAATAGGCCACAAATGGCCCAAGGAGGGTTGTCACCATTTCTAGTATCTGCTTTCTGTATTATTTTAACAGACTTCTTCAGGAGAAACAGGGAGAAGATTCTAAAGTTGTAATCAGAAAAAAAAATGGTCTAAATAGAAATATTGTTTTT